GTATATATAAATTAATTATTAAAGATTTAATTTATTAAAGTTTTATATATATTAAAAAAAAAGATTTTTTTCTTTTATTTTATATTATATTTTAAACCACTTTTATAAAAAATAACATATAAACCAATTTTAAAATAATAAAATTAATTTCTTTAAATAATAATAAAGTTATTTTAAATTTTAATATTATTTAAATTATTTATACACTATCTTTAAACTTTAATTTTTTTAACTTTTTTTAAATATTTAAAATATTATATAATATTATAAAAACCGTTTTATAATTTATTTTTTTAAAAAATAAAATTTTTAACTATTAATTTAACTTATTAATTAAAATTTTTAAAGTTATAAATAAATTAAATAAAATTACGTATAAATTATTATATAAAGTGGTTTTATTAAAGGAAAAGGTTATAAATTTTTAAAAAATAAATTACGTATTTTTTAAACGTTAAAAAGTTAAAAATAAATAATTATAACGTAGAAAACTTTTTATTTAAATTAAGGAAAATGCTATTTAAGTTAAAAAAAAAAGTAATGGCGTTATAATTAACAATGTTGTTATTAAGGGTAATGTTTTATAAAAGTTTTAACGAATTTTTTAACGTTATAACATTTATAAAAATATAAATTATAATACGCAAATATATTAAGCTAAATTAAAAAATATTAATAAAAAAAATTAATTAAATTTTAATTAAATTAAATGCGTTATAATTAAGTAATGTTTAATTAAATATAAAAAGTCCAAAATTGTGGGCCTTTAACCTGTGTGGGCCTTTGACCTGTTATTTACGTTAATATTAAGAGAATAGTAGCTTTGTTAATTAAGCTATACATATAAACGATTGTTTCAAAGAAAGAAACCAATCATTCTTTAACTTGGTGGGCATGATTAATACGTACCTAGGTACATAAACATAAGATGCCACCTCGGAAAATGGGAAATACGGAATCCTACAGGGTGGGCATATCTGCAAACCCCGGTGATCTTATCTGTGTTTTGGGCAGCCCATAGGCCGTGCTCCGTTGGACAGAAAAAATAAGAGGCAACCAAACTTCCGAACGAGGCACAAGAAGAAGAAAAAGAAGAAAAAAACAAGCCCACCGCTGTTCGTTCATTAAAACCAAAATTTCCTTCTTGTCTTTTTACATCGCCGTCGCGGCTGGACCGAAGTTTCAACACGTTCTTTTAAGGGTTAGAGATCAACCAGCTATCGTTACCTGCCTAACCTACTACTTACCTTAGGTGCCTCACCCTAAGCTATGGGGATTCAGTGGTGGGAGGATTTCGGCGACAAACATCCTAAACTTCATGACACTTTGACCAACGCGGCATACGCCATAAGACCGTATCTGCCGCCAATCAACTACATCACCCTGCACTATGCGTACTTCATCGGCACCACGATCGTGGCCACGCTCATCTTCTGGGGCGCTTCAGCCCCGAAGTACAGCGTTGGGTGGTGGGATAGCATGTTCATGGTGATGTCGGCGCTGACTGCGTCCGGGCTCAACACCGTCAACGTCAGCCAGCTGACGACGTTCCAGCAGGTCGAGCTGTGCGTGCTGATGATGATTGGGAGCCAGGTGTTGATCTCGTATGTGACCATCGCGTTTCGGAAGCATATCTTCGAGAAGCGCTTCGAGGATATCGTGAAGATGGAACGCGAGAAGAGGAAGAAGAAGGTGTCGGGAACCGGTGCTATCGTCGGCATGACGGGCGCTATGTTTGGGCTGCAGGTCATGTCGTCGTTTGGAAAGGGGCGCGCGGGCGAGAAGGCCCGGCCTACCGCCCATGTGAGGAACCTGTCGTCGTCGACTAGGAGGGCGCTTTCAGTCGAGGAGGGCACTATTCCGGAAATCGATGTCGAAAGCGCAAGGGGCCAGCACCACCACGTTGGCTTCCTCGAACCCGTCCAAGAGGGCAAATCCTTCGAAGGCCACTCCGCTGCGACCGGCCACTCGATCTACCAGACGCAATCCCACCAAAGCGGAGCGACGAGACGACGATCTACAACGGCGGAGTCAAAGACGGGGTTCGAGGGCTTCAACGTGCAGACATTCCTAACGGAGCAGAAGCGCAATATCGGGAGGAACGGGCAGTTCTTCAACCTATCGGAGGACCAACGAGAGTACCTCGGCGGCGTCGAGTACCGCTCGCTCAAGTTCCTGTCCTTCTTCGTCATCGTGTACTTCCTGCTCTGCCAGTTCTTCGGCGCCATCGCTCTCGGCGCCTGGATGTCCGTCTACGCAGTCGACGACGCCGCCGTCAACGCGCAGAACCCGTGGTGGGCGGGCATCTTCCTGGCCATATCCGCGTACAACAACGCCGGCTTCACGCTCCTGGACGCCGGCTTCGTGCCCTTCCAGTCCTCGTATTTCCTGCTCGTCGTCGTCACGCTGCTGTCGCTCGCCGGGCCGGCGGCTTTCCCGGTCTTCATGCGGTTTATCATATGGAGCATGTCGACCCTGCTGAATCTTCTTTCGAAAGATAGGGAGTACGGCGTGTGGAAGGAGGGCTTCGACTTCATCTTGAAGTTCCCTCGTCGCGTCTATACCAGTCTGTTTCCTGCCAAGGATACTTGGATGTTTGCGGCTACGTTTGGAGCGTTTGTCATCGTGGATTGGGTCTTGATCCTGCTTCTTAGCATTGGAAATCCGACCATGGATGCTATTCCCATCGGCCAGCGCATTTTTGACGCGCTCTTCCAGGGGTTCTGTAAGTGCTCTTTATGATAGTAATAGTTACTAGATGATTTAGACAAGGTCTCGGGCTAACAAATTAAACAGCAATCCCTTCAGGAGGTTATGCCATAGTATCACCTTCAGCTATGTATTTCGACATCTTAGTACTTTGGCTCGTCGTGTACTATACAGCAGCCTACCCTCACATCATCACCATGCGAAACTCCAACGTCTACGAAGAGCGATCATTGGGTATTTACGAAGGCGACCAGCCGGAGGAGGAACAGCTCCGCTCCGCAAGCAGTAGCATCGTAGAGGAGGATGCCGCCAACATCCTAGATGAGACCGGACTCCAGCCCGTCACGACCAACAACAAAAACTGGGACGCAATCTCGCGAGCTCCGACTGCTAAGTCCGTCAAGATGCTCTATTCTGTCGGTCGACGCGGCACAGCATTCGTAGGCCGCCAACTCCAACGTCGTATGACGGCCTTCCAAGGCGTCGGCGTCTCCGCGCCCCCTCCCGCACCAGCCATCAAGCCGCTCAGCCGGGCTAAAACCATGGACTTCGGACGAGCCTCGGTGCACTCTCTCCACAACCACCCGCCCACCGGACCCCCCAGCTTAGTCTCGCAGCAGATGCGCGGCCAGCTCAGCCACGACGTATGGTGGATCGCGCTGATGCTCTTCCTCATCACCCTCATCGAGACGAGCCACTCGCTCACCGACCCGGTCTCGTACAGCGTTTTCAACATCCTGTTCGAGATCGTCTCGGGGTATACCAACATCGGCATCAGCATCGGCCTGCCCGACCAGAGCTACAGCTTGAGCGGGGGCATGCACACGGGAAGCAAGATCCTCATGATCTTGGTCATGCTAAGAGGCCGGCACAGAGGCTTGCCCGTCGCCCTAGACAGGGCCATCCGATTGCCGGGGAAGAAGCTTGCCGAGTACGAGGAGGAAGATGCTGAGATCCGGAGCATGTCTCCTTTTTCGCACTGAGCTGTGGCGCTATGATTCTTCTTTTTTGGATCCGAATAATGCCACGAGCATGCTTCGTAGACAAATCAGGCGCCTTTACGTCTCAGGACCTACCTAACAAACACCCACTCACTCACTCACTCACTACTAAATACTTTTATTTATTTATTTCCCTTTGTCATATTCTTCACCCGGCCCCCCCTTTTTTAGAACTTTTTACTAGGATATCAAACGCGATTAGACGGAGTAACAGAGGCACACGTATTGCGGTTTCAAGGGCCAGAAATATATTTGAACTTTGGCTTGGTGGCTGCTTCAGATTTGACAGGCGTGGCGTTGGAAGTGGGCAGTACACAAGTGCGCACACACACACACACATATATATGTTTACGAAATAGAGAAGTTATTGAATTCATCGGGGGGCTCGCCTTAGTCATAGTTAGTATGTGTGATAACGAGATTTTATCATACGTAGGACATGTAGAGCTATAACCCTTATTAAGGTTTCCTCCTACGGGAATGGAAAGGCTTTTTCTCGTATGGTCTTAGTATGGTGGTATTCGGGGTACTTATGTGCTTGCTTTCTTTGTTAACATCGGCCGTGATAGTTTACTAATGTGGTAGTACGTAGCAGTAAAGGACGGTAGAATATATAACTGTCAATCTCGCTTTATGATAAGAGGGCATGATGGGGCGACACACTTGAATATTATGAAGTCTTTAAGAAATACATAGATGACTTCTAATAACTACCTAGGCAAAGAACCCTTAGTACGGGTATTTGAATACTCCTTTTCTCTTCTGCACGACCGCAATGTCTACCACCGTGTGGGTTTATGGACGCCATTATCAATCTTGTACCAAGGATTTCCATGCAGTTCCTAAGGTAGGTACCTAACATAGCGAGATAATTATTTGCTGGATATGGGGTAGGGCCGCTATTGAAGCTATACCTCCTCATCTCAAGTTGTATATCGAAGCACCCGTAAATATTCGACAGCAAATTCAATTAGTACGACCATGATTTATTGTCAATAGCCTTACCACTATATAAGTCGTCCCCGAATACGTCCGGGACCTCTCCCGGCTTGACCCACATACCGAACGGCGGCTAGCCATACGCCGACCGGTAGCCGAGCGCGGCTTCCGTGATTTATTCAGCCAGTAGAATGGTATTATACCACCAGATGTCATATCACTAAGCTATGCCTTATCTCTGTGCCTACATACGTACCTGCCTTTTGAATCATGTTGCCATGGAAGGTATCCACCCATGTTTGCGCTCTTGGATATCTTCACATCTAACAACCAAATATTTCACCACAAGACGCCCGGTTAGCTCAATCGGTAGAGCGTGAGACTCTTAATCTCAAGGTTGCGGGTAAGTTCTAGAGATTTCCCACACATTTCATACTATTCAAAGCTAACATGTCCTCCAAGGTTCGACCCCCGCATCGGGCTCAATTCCTGATGCTTCCCATTAATTTGAGAAAGATCAACCTTCCTTTTTTTAGTTTTTTATTTCTTTCTGTATTTTTAGTGCGTGTGTCGGAACGCGCTAAGGTCGGTGCTCTAAATACATAGGTCTACCCTTGTTAACTTGCATGCGCAGGTACCTATTGATATTCCCAAGGTCAACCCACAATAATATCGTACTTGAGATGCGGCTAAAAACTTATCAGGCCTACCCAACCTATACTTTTTCCACGATGTCGCTGGCACCTTTATATTTAGATGTCTGCCTAGGCTTCCCCTATACCACGTCACTCAGTTTCCTCCCTTACTGCTAGCTAAACCGATTTGTTTGTCCAAGACAATCAAGTCCTCGACGTTGTATGCGGAACAAGTCGACAGAGCTAGGTTAGGGGTCTGGCCCATGGACCAGCACGAGACATCACCAAGTGGCTATGAAAGCATATTGGGCTAAATTAATTAATTGACTATCGGCTCTCGTAGCCGCAGCACGAGTTTTAGGTATATACCATCATACAACAGTGAGTAATCCCAAGGCCCCTCAAATGTTGGATCGTCTATGATGCACTCCGTCAAATACAACAGAGTTATTGTAATTTATTCTGGTTTCATCAGATTCAATTCACTCTTCACCCAAGACGTATTATTGACATGGAAATCATTGACACGCGCTCAAGATCTATATAGAGCAAAGAAACGAAGAGCTCGTGCCATTTATTAAACGTCAGGGGGGGGGATGTGAATTAATAATTATGAGGACATAGCCTCGTAGAAGCGGAGAGTAATGCTCTATGATAGCTTGCTCATTGTGTAAGTGGTAAGCCTCTACTCTGCAGATACGCTGCGTGTATCTGCTCCTCCTGTTCCTCCAGGACGTGTCTCTTCAGTCAAAATCCCCCCACGTCTCGACTATGACATCCCTCTCGCCTATCCGAACATCGGCTCTTGGTCTTCGTCGGGACGAGCGACCTGACGACCGGCCAGCAGTATGTCTATGGCCGGATCGATGGCTGGCTCCAGCTCCGCTTCTGTGGTGTGGGCTATGGCTGGGTGCCGGGGCGCTCATGCAATTCCCCATGGTATCTTATTACCCCAGCCTCTAATTATGGGATATCCTTAATGCAGTGCTTGTGTTGTGTGGTCTCTGAGATTTTCTGGAAAGGGGAGGGTTATTTCTTTATCGGATTTGCTGGTCGGGGTTGGTGTGTATGGGGGTTATAGAGTTAAGTTACAAGTTATGTACGATGCAGAAGGAAGAAGTGCAAGGAAAAGCGTAAATATATAATGATATATTATACAGCCTCTCTTTGTGGCAGCTGATTTCGACAGTACGCCTAGCATGAGCATGTCACCAGACCCCCTGGTCTTGTCTGACTAGGCAGACAAGTGACTCAGCGGGTTAGTTGTAGTATTTTGACGAGGGAGGTGATTAGGACTATAGAAATAATTCACATAATTGAATACAAGTTTATTTATTAAACTAGCACCCTTTCTTTAAAGCGCAAAACTATGTGTTGTAATTGATTGCTACACCCAATATGCCGGGTTCAGTCACATGATCGATATCATTTCAACCAACAACAACAATAGCAAATGAATTCAAAGAGAAGCCGAAGAACTAACTAACATCAATCACCAGGCTTGTAGATATCACGTAGAATATCCTACAGCTTCTAGAATTTGATAAGGGTAAGATCCCTAAGTTGTCGAATGACTTCACCACTCATATAAATTTATCTACGTCGTATTCATGCAAATTAACTATTGCACGTCGAGATATAATAGACTGACTATTTCCCCTTATTACAGACACCCGGCCGTATCGGCTAGTCTAGGTTAGGCCAATATACTTCGCTCAGAGAAACAACTTCGTTATTCCACGAGGGACTTCGGATCTAAGCTACAGAAATTAGCGACTGGATTAGGTAGGTACCTAGATATACGTACTAAACGCATCCTCCGCCACGAACGTCTTATCAAGAGTCATGATACACTCAACAAGGAGTCTGGTGTACCTAGAGCTAAGTCTTTGACTATTGTGATCTAACTCTATAACCATCTACCCTCCAAGTACCTATCTAAACACCCAAGTTAAACTCTGGATCTGCTTAGCAAAAGGATGCAATAAAAGGCTTTATTTAACAACAGGTTATCCTATCGTTTCTTTGGTCTTATATTCTACCGCATCGCTGGCCTACCTCCCCTGACTGCCACTTGCACACACGATCCTAACCAAAAAAAAAAGCCCATCTCCTTTCTTACCTATCGCCACCAACCTCATCTTACGTACCACCCGCAACAACAAGACTAGAGCAGAGAAAGCATGGGTTGCTGCCTTAGCTGCCCTCGCAGCAAATCCCAGGATAAACCTGAAGGTATACATGAGATACCGCTGCAGCCTTCTCAATCGTCTGCCGCCGCTCCCCCACCTAGCACTGCAAGCAAGCGTTCGTGCAAATGTCCATGTAAGCGGAAGCGGAAACACGATGACGACTTCGGCCCCCTCGACTGCTTGATATGTTTATGCTGCTGCTGGATGGCGTTGTGCCTAGATGGATAGCTTTAGCCTTTAATACTTGTTTAGCTGGTCCTCTGGATAGGACTGTGCTATGATATATTAAATATTATATTTTGGTGTTATTGATGGCAATGTATTTTTGATGGCTGGTATGTTAGGCTATGGTGTTATATGCAACACTTTATTAGAATATAAATTATATGACGTATCGAGATATTAATAAGAGGCAACCTAGGTAGTTATTTAAGTTAATGTATCGCTCCACATAAGTTCAGCTCCTAGGCTCCCCTAAACCTCAAGTACCTAACCTAATGTATACCTAGGTAGGTAACTATGACTATTTGTAAGCAGCTTCGAAAAGGGGGGCTACATATGTACCTATATAGAGTACCTACCTACATAACCCATAACCCCCTAACCTAGCAGCTGAAAAGTAGCGTCGCATCAAGTTCTCCACCAAGTTCCTCGAAACATTCTATGGTCTGATCTTCCGCAGAATGCCCGCAACTCCCCGCCAGAAAGCCTGCATCGCCTGTGCGGATTCTAAGCGCAGATGCGACAAGCAGCTCCCCGAGTGCCAGCGGTGTCTAGACAGAGACGTGGACTGCGCTTATCCGCAACCTAAGAGGCGACGGAGAAATCCAATTGCGCGTGCTGGTCAGACCGAGGAGCTTCCCGTAGTCCATGACCATGTCGACGCTGATGCCGATGCCGATGTTGATGCTCCTGGTGGCGGTCTCGACTTCGAAGACTGGGGTGCCATGGGAGCCGCCGACCTTGACGTCTCCCTATCAGACGTGATAATGCCATATATCCCATCTCCACCGGGGCATGTAACCAGCCAACCAACCCAGAGACCCGCGCTCGAAAGCGACGATATCTCCAGCATGCCATGCCCCTGGTTCCTCGGGGACGAGACGTGGATCATGCAGCACAGCCAAAAACAGCCGGCCACGTCTGATAATCTCGAGCTAGAACCCTTCATCACCGCGGTTGAAGAAATGCTGCACTTCTGGGTCCGGAACGGCTACAACAGCTTTATTCACCGGCGGTTGTACGATAAAGGCATGCCTACGTGTCTCCAGGACGCCTTCACAACGCTTGCGACGTACGTCAGCTGCACGCCGGCGATGAAGGAGACGATACTGCAGATTGCCGAGTGGCGCTCGTCCGCACTCGCCAACCAGTGCCCGTGTGCGGCCGGCGGCGCGCAGGGCATACGCGCGCAACTGGCGCGCATCCATGCCCTGTTCGTCTACCAATTCATACTGCTGTTCGACGGCTCGGTGCGTTCGCGCGCGCACGCCGAGAAGCAGCAGTCGACGCTGCGGCAGTGGGTGACCCAGATGTGCGAGGCGGCGAGGCGATACCGAGGAGAAGATATATTTGCCCAGAACAATCGCACGCCTCAGTGGGACGTAAGCAAGTTCGACAGGGAGTACGATGCGTCCTCGAAGATGTGGCAGCTGTGGATTCTGATCGAAAGCGTGCGGCGCTCGCAGCTTATCATCGATACTATCTCCAATATATACGATGTCATGGCTAAGGGGTGGGCTGACTGTACCGGCGCTGTTATGTTTACGGCCCGTCGTGGGCTGTGGGAAGCGGACTCTGCGGTGAAGTGGTTTGAGCTGTCTTCGGTGGAAGAGCCGCTTCTGGTGCCGTCTCTGCAGCCTGGGCCGCTTATTTCTCAGTACAACGCAGATGAGCTCGATGATTTCGTAAAGACGGTTTGGACGTGTATAGTTGGCACGGATAAGATGAAATGTTGGATTGACAAGAGTAGCAAGGCAATTGGAGTGTAGTGTATCCTATAACGTGTCCATCCGTATCGTGCCGCTGACTTTGAATACTCACGGTGAATTTATTTTAGTTATATCTAATGTGATATAATATAGGCTAACGTACGTAGAATTTAAATATATTGTAGTAATTAATACTTTAATTGTAATAGTTTCTTAAGTTGACACACTCATACCAAGTACGCCCCAGAGTTAAACCTTGGTTGCCCTTAGCCTACGAAAAGGGGCTTTATAGACTCCCCTTGCCGACCAAGCTGAAATATTATTCAACTACATCTAGTGATACCTAAAGGCCTTAAAGCTATACCGCGATGGCATATTACACTAACTTCATTTTAATAATCTTTAATAGGACTATCTTGTAAGTGAAGTTAAAAAAAAACCCAACAAGACAAAAACATTAAGCCATCAAAACCCACAACTTAACAATCGCTTACTACTTCAAAAATATAATTGTTATTATTATTCGGTGCAAATATCTACCCGGGCATATTCGCGGGAAAGCGTGCAGTGCTTCGATTCAAAGGTGTGCCTTAATGAATCCCTTTAGTCATGGCGGGCAGGATGCGGCGAATTTGCGGAAAAGTTGCGGAATTGTGGCGGAATCTCCAATCAATCGATCACGTCACGAGGGGAGTTCTCAACATGAGTAGCCCCGAGAAACAGCA